ATTTTTTCTGGGGGCCGTGGTGGGTCAAAGGGTCAAGTCAATGAAGAAAGAGACAGCTCCGTTGGGTCAATGTTTTTTGTTAACTTGATAAGGAAAAAGATGAAATGGATGAAGAAAAGGAAAACATGGTGGGTTCCATCATATGCGTGGACAAGGCATACATGGGATATTTACTTCTTTGATTATGTATTGATTTAGCTGCATGGACAACGTTAATATTGTGAATTAAGTTTATGCTTGTAGTTTATTCATTAACTGGATGGAATTATTATCCTCCTTTGCTATGCAGTCAAACAGTCATTATCGTGCGGTAAGACTCCTAGGAGATAAGAAGCAGAAATGCCATTTAGAAATTTGATTTTCTGGTGCTCATGTGTGGGATTTCTGAGTAGTTATGAACCTCATTGTTGCTTAATACTAATGTGTAGGGTTTCATCTAACTGTTTAGGTAAGATTTATAGTGACCTTGTTGGAAGTCAATATTATGTTGCCCCAGAAGTCTTGAAGCATGAGCATGGCAAGGAGATAGATGTATGGAGTGCTGGGATCATTTTATACACCCTTCTAAGTGGAGCGCCACCATTCTTGGCAGGTAATTGAGTGATTGTTTTTATAACATGTAAATTTCAAGCCAATAATAAAGCTGTTAATTAGCACTCTGGAGAATCTTACTCAAAGTGGTAGATGTGCTTTCCTAGTTTAGTCCAGATTGTTTCTGTACCATCATTGCTATGACAGGCAGGCTGGCATTTAGAACAGAGGATGATATTTCAAGTGATTTGAGTCATTTTACTGGATATCTACGGCCATTTCTTTGGTTTTTCACAAGAGCAGCTTATCTTCTACGAACTTTGAAGTCCAAAGTCTTGCGTACAAAGAAATTATTTTCCTTTTATTTTATCTTTTGCCTCATGTGTAATAAATTTTGTTTCAGAGACTGAGCAAGGTGTATTTGAAGAAATTTTAAAAGGTGAACTTGACTTGGAAAGCACACCATGGCCAACCATATCAGAGGGTGCAAAGGACCTTGTCAGAAATATGTTAACAATGGATCCTAAGAAACGGATTACAGCTGCCAAAGCCCTCGGTATGTAGACAAGTTTCTCCACAAATTTGTGCAAGCAAACTGCAGTTGGTTAGATATAAATGTGATCTTCAACTGGTGAAGTAGTTATTTATTTTTTAAACATTAAAGTAATTAATTTATTTTAATATATAGAGAATGAATAGACTATGAATGTCATTCGCATTGTTTATTTGAACCAGAACATCAATGGTTAAAGGTGGATGGTGAAGCATCTGACAGACCTATTGATAGTGCTGTTCAAGGCAGGCTTAAGCAATTCAGAGCAATGAACAAGCTCAAGAAACTTGCCTTGAAGGTATGATTCAATTCTAATAACACCATTTTTTCATTTTTGGAACTTAAATGATGAATTCATTACAGTACTAGAGTTTTGTTTATTCTCTTCTTTCTCTTCCGTGACCACTCTTTGCTGTTCCCCTGAGTTGTTTGTTTCTGTGATGGAAGGTAATAGCAGAAAACCTTTCAGAAGAAGAAATTGCAGGCTTGAAAGAGATGTTCAACAACATTGACGTTGACAGAAATGGAATGGTCACATTCGAAGAGCTCAAAGATGGACTGTCCAGAATCGGATCTAAACTACCAGAGGCAGAAATAAAGGAGCTACTGGATGCTGTAAGGATTACTCAACTTCTATAATTCTGTGACTAATCAGTATCACAAAATTCATCAATTCTCTCTTGAACCAGAAGGTTAAATGAAGTTTGGGATCTATTTCAATCTTCTTTCAGGCTGATGTTGACAGTAGTGGAATGATTGATACCACTGAGTTTATTGCTGCTACTATGCATCGGCATAGGGTTGAGACCGAAGAGAACCTGTCCAAGGCATTTCAGTTCTTTGACAAGGATGGCAGTGGGTTAGCATACTGCTTATTCCTGTTAAATATTATTTGTTTCAACTCATTATGTAGTGCAATGTGTTAGTAGCAATCGGTTTATCATAATGCCTAATTCCCTTGATTTGAATTAGACCCCAATGCAGTTTCTCTATGTCTTGAACTTTTGGCATCAAATGTTAATCCACTTGATTTGTTGGTTTTACATTTTCTCCTAGGTTTATCACAAGAGATGAATTAAGACAGGCCATGACTAGGTATGGAATGGGGGACGAGGCAACAATAGATGAAATCCTCAACGATGTTGACACTGATCGGGTAATTATCTTCTATTTAAACCTAACCATTCCTCGTATAATGGCATTTCAATACCTTCTTTCAAGAATTATGTTATGATGACTTCTATCATATCATGATTCGACTCTGTAGGATGGAAGAATAAATTACGATGAATTTGCAGCCATGATGATGACTGGAACACCAGACCCTGGTGTGAGACACAGATAAGCATCTCCTAATACCATGTAAACACAATTAAGCTACCCGGTCAAATGTGGATCAAGTATACTTTGATCCTTGGCTCTAGGGTTTGTATTAATAAATGGTGATGTTGATGTTGTTAATACCATTAAACTCCATATCTGGATATATGAATAAAGTTTTACCCTGTAGCAGGGAGAGATTTATATAGTGTATAGTAACATTACTCCTATAACTTAAGATGATGGAGTTTTATTCTGTTGAAATGTAATGGATTTATAAATTATTTAAAAACGAACAACACTACTGAAAGATTGAAAGAATATTGAGCAAAAAGCAATTTTTGGTTTTACTCTGACTGAACTTGTGGAACTTGAGAATTTAATTAATTTTTTTTATTAGGTTAAATTGAAATGTAAAATTGAGAGCTCATTAATTTACAATTAAATTATTTATAATGTTTTTTAATTGA